TTTTTATAATCCTATAGTTAATAAATTTTATCTACAGAACTTGATTATAAAAAAACTATTATATTTGCATATTTATTCAGTAATCTATCTTTATATAATTATTGACTATCACCATTAAATTTTATATTCGCAATTTATATATATACAAAATTTAATATGTAACTTTACCATATTTTATATTAATTAGAACTTGTAACATCACATTCAAACTATACCATAGTCTTTAATTAGAGATTGTACAAAAATATTGAAATTGTATCTAAACGATTATAAAATTTTTAATCAAAAACTATTCAAAAATTGTAATTCTGTATTCAAAATATAGTACCACTTTTGATTAAAAACTATACAAAACAATGATTTTCATCCAAACAATAATATTGCATCTAAACGATAACTTTACATTTGATAACAAATTTTTAATTAAAATTATTCTAAAATAAAAACTTTACATCTAAGCAATAACATAATCTCTAAAGCTTTATCTTTACTAAAGTCTTAATTCTTTATGAAGGACTTTAACTTCTATTAAAAATTTTACTATCTATAAGGAATTAGTCTTTATAGAGATTTCACAGATTTCACAGGTTTTACAGATTCTGCAGATTTTGCTGATTTCATCAGAGGTTTTGTCATTTGAAATAATAAAGTTTCACCTTTTGTCATTTTATGGAAAAGTTTTGTTTAACAATATTAGATCTAATTCGTAAATTTAAATTATATTATCAATGAACATATCAACTAACAGATGATTGTTTACTTGACCTACTATGCTTGATTAAACAAATAAAATAAACCTAATAAAGATATCATATAATAAAAAAAGCAAAAATAATTGACTCCATCATAACTCTGAATAATACAAATATAATTTATTACAAATAAAATGAATTAACTAGAATGAAAATTATAACAAAATGAGATGGTTAGAACAAAATTCTTATTATCACAAACTGAATTGGTTAGAATAAAAAAACAATTAATTAGAATAAAGCATACAACAAAATAAATTGGTTAAAATGTGATGCTTATAAATATTTAATTGTTAAACACTATATACATATTAAAAAAAATAATGCATTACTGTATTAAAAAATTTATCTTTTATTAAGTATATTCAAGGAAATATTGTGACAATGATAATTCTGCATGCAAAATTATCAATACTTCTACATCATGCAGACATAGATAATATGAATTGGTTAGATCTATTCAATTTTGGATTAATTTTCCCGTGATAAATAATAAATTGTAAACTAATAAATGAATAATAATTATATATATACAATCAAAACAAACTCCTCTCTAACTAAATTTCATCAATTAATTCAAATGATCGATCTCTCAAAATATATAATTTTAAATCAATTTAAAATATCCTTCTTCGTAAACCAAATTCTCGAAATTGAACTGCTTGAATATGGTGAACAAATACTTGACTTAAACATGTCTAACATTATTACAGCACAATCAACAGAAATACAAAATGAGACTCATTCATATATACTGCCGTGTATATCTTCAACCCAAGAAATTACTTCTTGGTCAATTTCCACAAATATGCAAGAAATAATAAACCAATTTGAAGATACAATTTTGCATAAATTCCCATGTATTCTCTGTTCGATTTGTTCTAAACTCATGTATCTTGAAAAGACCAAATGGATTTCACAAAATCCAAATTTTCAATATCCACTTATTACTATATATCCAACTAAACAGTTAATTACAAATCCTAACCCACCTTTAAACCAAATCGCTATATGCTCTTCATGTAAATGTGATCAAAATCATAACTACCTACCATATATTTCTCTGATTCTACCAGAAATCAATTCAGTGCCACTGGAAAAACACAAATATTTATCCTCTATATTCTTATACTGCTCTCTAGATCACATATCTGGTTCGAACCCCTTTTTTGAATACAGAT